CGCTGCTCTCAGGTGTATTTTCATTCTTTCTCTTTTTTGTCTTTTCCTTTGGTTTCTCTGACTTTTCTTCTCTTGTGTTAAATGATAACTGATCCTTCCACAAACATCTCCACTCACCCACAATGTGTCTGCTGCTCTCAGCCTTGTTTCACTTATCACTTTTTTCCACCACACTTTTTGTGTGTATGCTGTGGTGAAGGTAGAGGATTGATGATCGTTGATCTTCATTGCTCCTGACTATCCACCTCTTATCTCGCCTATACTCCAATTGTGGAGTTTGCACACCCTACAACATATGCAAAGAATGTTACTGATGTAGTCCAAATCAAAATGTAAATTTCCAGAAAAAAACCAATTTGTGAACATATCCAAAACCCATATTTCCCCACATTGACATAAGTAGGCTTGGTTGGGGCTTGCTGGGTTCCTGCCTGGTGAGTAAATTGCCCTGAATATGTGATACCTCAAGTAAATGAGGGAAAAATGCATCACAATTTTTTAATGAAAGTTTTATCCACTCACATAACTTCACCAAAAGAATTCCAGGCACAAAACAATACAAATCCAAGCTATAATGGCTAATAAAAGTAACAAAATCAAAATCATCTTTTAAATTCTTCTGGAAAAGCTAAAAATAAGATTGAAAGTAAAACCCACGCACAACTTCAAGAAGAAGAGAAAGAAAGGTCAAAGAGCCAAGGTATTTTTTTTTCTTCAATCATAGAAATGGCATGTACAATAAAAAAAATAGTAACAAAACAAGTAAGGAAAATAAAGGCTCAATACCAACAGACCCTAGAGGATTTGTGGGAAAGGCGGTTTCCAGAGTTTCTTGTATCAGCTTTCCTTGTTCCTATATTGAGATTCAAAAATTCCTTTTCGATTTCTTCAATTTCACTGGCCAATTCAGAAGATTTTGTTTGTTTATCTCTTCCTTGAAATTCCTTAGAGAAGAAATTAAGAAAGGCAGGGAGGAATTTTTCCCAAAATGCTCCTTCCAACTGAACAAGATTTGAAGCAGGAACAGCCGATCGATAATTTACATTCGAATCTGTTAACAGTGCTTTATCAATTGCCACTATGATCTGATCAATCTTTGCAATTGTACCTGGAGAAAATGGAAGTTCCTCAAGCTCCAAGGGATTATTGAGCTCATGTGGTATGATTTGCTTCTCCAAAAATTGAGTGACTCTTCTGCTTATATTTTGATCACTTGGGTCTTTCTGATACTTCAAGAACTCATAAGCTCTTCTTCGGAAAATCTTTCGTATCAACTCAGCTGCCTTTTCCAGTAACTTGCTATTTTCTTTCATTTCTTGATCTTTTTCAAGAGATGTAGTGAAAGTCTTGAATATGTTGACCAGAGGATCAAAAAGCCCAAATATACAGTCTAGTTATAAGACCAGAGACAAGTTTTTTTTTCACCAAACTTAGCCTTTGAGAAACAATAAATTGGAGTAATGGAACATGCAAACCTTCTGTCCTGGATTCAATCCAATAATCTTTATTAATCAAATGGTCCAAAATCAAGTTTGCTTTCTGGTGTAGCCCTGGTGCTAATTGTCCTTCATAGCTTTCTTGGGATACTTGATCATTGCTAGATAGCTTTGAAAAGATAAATTCTGGTTTAGTATTCAACTCTCTGAATGAGGTTTAACTGGACCATCTTACCCTATAAGACTGGTTTTCTTGGATTTGATCCCCAACCAATCTGTCCAATTTTGTCTCATCTGTCTCTGGGAGGGTAGACAATACATGTAGTTGAGATTTTTTGAATGCATCAGGAGAAATTGATCCTTTTATGAATAAAATTGGAATACAAAAAAGTAACCAGTTGTGCATTTTCTAGGATGAAAGTGATAATGATATATGTTGACAATATGAATGTATTCAAAATTGATTGTGGAATTCCAAGGAATATATCCAGGTGGTTTGAGTATTTAAGTGTGGATGTGTCAGTGTTTGACCAATGTCATGTCTACAGTGTATCATTCATGTTTGAGTTTCAAAACAAGTCTTGAATGATTTAACCTTCATGAACAAAAAGTGATACTTGAATACTCATAAATTGCCAAAAGGCAGTGTGGTAATGTGGTTTACCAATTTGAATGTCTCAGCAGATCAACTGCAAGCTAAATCACTCATTTTGGCTCAGAAGAACATGCAAAAAATACAATACATGTATTTTGTGTTTCATGTATTGCATTGAAATACATGTATTTCTGATGTATTTGTTATCATATACAATACACTGTATTTAAAAACTGCGTATTGGCAATACAGATACAATACATGTACCATATTTGTTTCACAGTTGCTCATGAGTACAAATGAAAGTATTGATGACACAATGTCTCATCTATCTTGCAATTTGACTTGCACCTAGCAGTAGCACTAGCTGTTAGTCTGTTTTTTTGTTTCAGTCATCTTGTATCTCTCTTTTCTTTTCTTGATCTTACCAATAAGCTGACCAGACTGGGTACAGCAACACAAATCCTGGCAGGGGGTGAGTGTAAATTGTTTGTGGAAGGATGAGGAGAGTTTCCTTCCACAAATGGCTGCCCCAGGTATATGATCAGGTGAACTGGGACAAGCAGTGAACAATTTGGAAAGGATATATTGAACCAGTGAGGACAAGAGATACTTAGACAGAATGGACAAAGAGAAAGAAACAGAAAAAAACAGAGCAGAAAAAGAAAGGAAAATACATAACTGGGACAAGCAGTGAATGATGTGGACAGGATGAGGAAAGGGACCTTTTCATGAGTGAGCTTCTGCCCCAGGTATGTTGTACAACTTGTGAAAATGCTGTAATATGTGAGGTCTATGAATGTAGCATACAAAACACATCTGTGAAACCCAACAGTCCACATGGTGTGAAACCTGTATGTGTCAGGTATGAAGGAATCAGGATGCACAGAAAGGGCTAGAGTCTCAACACTTGCCACTGATGGGTGGCTTTCCTCAGGTATGTAGACAGTAGACTCATTTTTTTGCTTCATTCATCTCAGATCACTCTTTTGGCCTCCAAAGTCCCACATTTTCCTACTTAGCTCACTGATTATGCCTGGTTTTTTCCACCGGCCTGATGATGTAATTTGCTCATAAAAGCATTGCCAATTTTTGTGGATACCCAGCTTAGAAAGAAGAACAATCCTCCGATTATCTATGGTCTCAAAGAGGGAGGTGACGTGATTTGTTGTTTTTTAAAAACAAGCAAAAAAGTAAGTCAATTAAAAAGAGTCACTGAGAAAATTGAATACAATTACAGGCCTCAAAGAATCAGGTTGGGCAGCTCATACTCATGTTGAGGTTTCTTGTATGAAGGCATTCTTTTCCACTTGAACTAGGCTCTTACTTGAGATGGTCAGGATGCTGAAAAGTGTGTGGCAAACATTCTCAAGGAATTAATTGAAGGATGATAATAGCCTCATAAGCGACTTCATGAACATAACTGAATTAAGGGATTCAATGTAGATTTTTTTTATTCTTTTCTTTGTATCATTGAACATCAACCAGTCATTTTGAGTTTTCTAAGATTGGTAAGCTGAAAGTGAATTGTGAGGGAGCTTGGGGGAGATGAGAACCGTAATTGAGTGAATCAGAACTGTTTGAGGCGTTTTTCAAGCCATTCCAATTCTGCCACTTCGATTATCTCTGGCAAATTTTCAGATGAGTCTTGGATCAGCCACTGTTGCGCAGCTTCGAATCGTTTGGGAATTCTAGCCATGTGGGCAGACATAGCGATCGAATCCAAAGGGATGTATTCTGCGGTTGCGAGCTTGACCTTGTGCGGGTAGCGCTTCAAGAAAGCTTCTCTGAATTCCCGCCGGAACGCTCTGGTTTTGCTCTCGATGTCGATCCACCTGAGCCGAGTTCTGCTTTCGATGACAGGCTCGATATGAAGCTGCTCCAGCTTCTGGATGGTATCAAGGAATTCCGCTGGGAATGGAGCCTTTTGCAACTTGCGCACGACCTCGTCCTGTTGGGAACTGGTGCATTTGAGCCAGTAGGAGGCTGTGAGTACGAAGATCTCGGCCATCATGTCTTGCAACAAGGGCTCGACCCTCTCTACGTTCAACTCGGTGTTTTTGTGGTGACCACTTGTCTTGGCTTGAATGGATTTTGTGGGCTTCCTTGTCTTCGTTTCGATGTATTTCGGCTTGCCAGCGCCTTTTCCGGCCTGGTCGATAATCCTGCGAGAAATCTGTGACAAAAATGATACTGGAGCGGGATTCAGACTTGTAACCATAGTGCCGAGGTGAGATTGGAGTGCTCATTCCAACCTTTTTCCTGCTTTTTGATCAAATCATCCAAGATTAAATTTGCTTTTTGGTGTAAAAGAGCGGCTGCCAAATTGTTCTTCTGAGGTCTTATAGGCGCTTGAGCGCCTTCATTGGTGGCGAGTATTTCGGAGAGAGACAATGTAGCAGCTGGAGCTTCAGCTGCCGATTCCAGAGCCCCAGTCCCACTCGACGTGCTCTCGCCGTGATTTCTGACTGGCCCCCGTCCGACCGCTTTTTCTACCGAACTGGATGGTTTGAATCCTTCTGTTAACAAGGAGGAAATCGATCCCTGAATGAGTGTGAATGATAAGAACAGAATAAGCGAGGGGTAACAAGCCAGCCTCATCGTTGCAAGCCGTCCAAGGAGCGTGGTGACAATTAAAGAAGGCAGAGGTTGGCCGTCTTCTTGAAGGCGAACAGGATCGGGCCCAATTTGTTGGTTTCAAAAGTAGTCTCAGAAAGCTCGATTCCGCTGCAGTATTGGATGTCAGACCGGCCAGTGGGCACGTTATCTACAGCTATCCTACTCAATTATCCTTGATTAGCAATTCTTTCGTAATTGTTGCGGAGGCAAATTCAATACTATTTTGCCCCCTTGTAACTGAGCCGATTAGCAACTTGAATATAGCTGCTTCCCCCCCCCCCCCCTCCAGGTGGCATTGCTTTTGTTCACCGAGGGCAGCTGAATTGGTTGGCTAACACAGCACTGGCTCAGACACGCGCTAAAGAAGTTTGGGTTTTCCTGATGCTAGCTTCGCTGGATTCCACAGTGCTTTGTTCGGCCCCAATCGCCGAGTTTCACGGAGCAGCGTTCAATGAGGGCCATTCATCATCATCGTCATACATGTTTATACTTTATGGCACTTCTTGTCTTTCCGCTACATAACTGAGATATGTTTAAACCATCGCAGCTCGGTCCGGTACGACATGTGCTGGAAGTCACTACATACGTTCCAGATCACTCCAAAAGCACTTCCATAAGCCTGCCGGTGGTGAATTCTTCTCACTTCTGTTGGGTCTTGGTGCGGGACTAGTGTGATACAGACATCCAGCCGGCAATGCAACAAGCATGCTTTAAAACAACTATATTATAAGCATGTGTGAAACTCTTTCATGCAAGGTACGGCTTGGGGATCATCATCCAAGGCGTTGGATGTATTTATAATTTGATAAGCAAAATGAACCATGCCGTGTTTCTCACGAGCAGCATCAATCATAAGCTCGTCGGACTAACGCAATGAAGGAGGAAATCATCATGATCAATTCAAGTTTGAGCTTATGTACGGAAGCTCAGAGGGGACACAAATCGCGCCAGCGCCAAATCGCGCCACCCTGACTGATCCCCCCCGAACTCCCTCATGCAACCGAGGGATTTTTTTTTCTTATACATAAACTCATGCAACCGAGGGATTTTTTTTTTCTTATACATAAACTCATGCAACCGAGGGATTTTTTTTTTCTTGTACATAAACTTTATTTTTTTTTCTCACCTTTTCATATGCACATGTAAACTTGTAAATAAATTTCTCTCACTTATGCCATGTATGTACATATGTAAACTTGAAAAAAATTCCTCTCACAGGTGCAAGGACTACATGTACATGTGTGCAACTCATGTAAATAATACGTAATGTAGGGAAATAAAATCCTTTTATTCGATTTCTCCACTGCTCCTTATTAAAAATTCAGAGAAACATATTTTGTTCTACCACTTTCGACATCTCATTTTCATTATCAGTACTAACATCACACTTTTATTACATTAGTAATCTCCTGAAATCCCAAAAAAATGAGTGATAACTCTTCTTTTGATGCTGAAACCTCCAGCATCAATAATTCAGATGAAGAAATCTCCTCAACAGAGGTATCTTCTAATGAGCACGCTTCCAGCGAACAATCTTTCAATACCTCTAGGTCTAGTCACTCCGAAACCCAATCAAATCAATCAGTTGAGGAATATTCTTCCAGCTCAGACCAAGATGAGGACGATGAAACGGCTTCCGATAATGAAGAAAGTTCTGTAACAGATAGAGAAGAGATCTTCACCTCCGATGATTGTTCAGAAAACTCTGGTCCAGATGATCCACCATACTCGTTTAACTCTGATACCCAATCCGACTCATCCGAAAGTGATTCAGCTCCTCCTGATACTAGCGAACAACACCAAAAAAATATAGTTCAAAATCTACTCTCAACTGGCTACAAAGGTCCCCATATCTTAAAAATTCTTCGGGATGAACATGGAATACAGATGTCTGCTAAAACTCTCAGTCGAAAACGAAAAGAATGGGGACTCCGATTATGCGATCTTGAACAAGCACCACCTCCCACGCCACTATCCCCCAAGATTCGAGCCTCACTAGTTTCCTCACACTCCAAAGGAATGAATCTAAATGAGATTCAGGCACAGCTAGCTAATGAGACAAGTGTCAATGTATCCATCCGTACCATCAAGCGCTACTTAAAACAGCTTAACTTGAAACTTCTTCGAAACAATGTAACTCATGGTAAAATTACTATTCAGCAAGTACATGATGCTATCCACGATGCTCGAACTAGAAGGCTACAAAGTGATGCTGGCTATCGAAGGATGAGAATGATCCTCATGAGGGAATATGATATTCAAATCCCACAGTAAGTATCCTTGTCCTGGTCTTACAAAAATAAACTACAGAATAACCTATTACCTTTCAATTCCAGACGGTTAGTCTACGATGTTCTCAGGGAAATCGATCCAGAGGGTATGGCCGCTCGACTACGAGGTGTATGCAAACGTCAAATATATCAAACAAATGGACCCAACCACATCTGGTCCAGTGATGGACATGATAAGTTGAAGCGCTTTGGACTTACCATATACGGATTTGTTGATGCCTGGTCAAGAAAAATTCTTGGGATGTTTGTTCATGTAACAAACAACGACCCTCGCCACATTGCGGTGTACTTCCTTCAACTTGCATCTAAGGCTGGTGGAATCCCACTCCTACTCACAACCGACTGTGGTACCGAAACTGTTAAAATGGCTAGGTGTATGATGGAATTAACATATACTCACATGGAAATCTCACTGGAAGATGCAGCAAAGCGAATGCATTACACCAAGTCAACACATAATCAAAAAATCGAATCCCTTTGGTCTCAGATGATGAAGCAGCACAACCGTGCAATCAAACACGATATTCTAAGTCACATTGAAGATGGGAGTTATGATGACCAAGATGATGTTCAAAAGTGAGTATAATGAAACTCTTTGTTTGTTTCGATTATTACTAACTTGCCCGCTTCAGACTCTTGTTTCTATTTCTGTGGGTTCCTGTACTCCAAGCAAGTGTTGATAGCTGGGTTGATACGTTGTGGTGAGATTGATCAAACCCATAGCCATAATTAAAAACACTGTATTACATATAAATAGTAGTTAAAATATTAGAGAAAGAGGGGTAGAATATGAAAGAAACCACATAAATATTACTGGGCTAAATTGTAGTTTAATTAACTCACAAACTAGGCCTAAGATATTTAATTTCTCATGGATAAAAAAATTATACAAATAAACTGTAGAACTATATTTCATCCAGCTTAGACTGATAAATCAAGCTACTAATCAGAAAGTGCTTCACAGACTAGATCTAGAAAATAACTCTTATATTAGTTAGTACTAAAATACCCATCTCATAGTAATTGATCTAAGAATAGGCATCTTATAGAAGAATTACAACCTCTTGTATTAGAAGGGCACTTAGAGATTAATTCATATCAGATTAGCCCATCTCAGAGTAGTAGAATCCACTCTAGAAGTACCCTTCTCAGATGCACTAGTTGTTCAGGCCAAAATCTCATGTACAGCAGAACCATTTGTCTATAAATAGAGGCTCTTCTGGCCCAGGTTTTCCTCTTCCCTCCTCATGTTTGCACCAGAGAAGTAATTAGAGATATTACTTAGCACTCATCAAAACCCGATGCTAGCTACAGAATAGTAATCAGAGATATTACTCAGCTTTCATCACCCCTTGATTAAGAGATCCAGAGAATATTAGAGCCCTTGAACTTCCCTTACCTCAATTTTGGCCCTAGACAAGTAATTCAGAGATATTGCTTAGCCATCCTCAACTCTTTTGCAACAGATATCAGAGAAATAAGCATACCCTTTATCAGAGCCCAGAGAGACCAGAGATCAGAGAGAATTTATAACAGAGAAACCCTTCAGAAACTCTTATTACTCAGAAAACCCCACAAAACTCCTTACCTCTCCAACAGGTATTCTTAAGCAACAATAGCAGTAGAATCAACACTAAGATAAATTTAGAAATAAGCCACACTCTTATTTTTCTTAGTGTAACTTTCCCGCAAGCTAGACAGGAGGGCAGTCTCACCCACACACAGATACTAATTCTACTATTTCATAGTCTTATTAGCTATTTTATCCCCTCCAAGCTCTTTACTCACTTGCTGAGCAGTTCCATAACGTATAACAACTACCGAAAGCGACGGGATCATCTCACCACACTTCCAACCGGTGTAAGCTCGGAGTTTGCATATAGCACCCCTGAATATTTTGGAACCACCAATCAACTCCTCAAGATGCCTTCCTCCGATATCGACTTGATGTTACAGACAGACTACCCGAATCTTGATTTGTTATTTGCTCATACTCCTCTTGACTTTCATGAAGTGGCAATTGAAGTCATGGGGAATCTCGGTTGGAATTTTTCTCAAATTAATACAGGAAATGTATGGTTTGTTTTTCATGAAATGCTCCCCCATGTTGTTGCCCAATATATCCCACCAACCGACTCATCCAGTGAATACGAATCCCATCTTTCCAACGAATCTGGATCACACATTTTGAATGTTTCTGAATCTTACATGAGTACTTCTTGTAACCACTCATCATCTGAATATGAAACACCTTAATCAGTAGATGCATTTCAAAGTACACAAATAATTTTTCATCTTTCAACCTCATTATGAATTACCCCATCTTTTAATATTTTTTTTGTAAGATTGAAGTAAATAAATTGATTTTTTTTGATCCAGACTTACATGCCTCCTACATAATCCCACTTACTCATTCGCAACTGATATGCCTCTAGGGGTGGGGCTATACATGTGAAGTTTTATTAATATATATTAAAATCATATACATATTATTATTCTTTTCTCCGTAAGTGATTATTCTTTGATACATATATGACTGTGTGGGGATGTTATTTTGGCCTTTTTTCTGATTTCAGTACACTTCTAAGATTACCAACCATGGAGTGCCTTCCAGTACGTCTCACAACTCATTTCATTAAACCGTGGAGTACCTTCCAGTATGTCTCACAACTCATTTTGCTACTTACTTTTCACTACTTACTCAGGAGATTTTCAAATTCAACTAACTAACCAATTTACAACTAAACCATTCAGCATTTAAACTTCTTCAGCTTTCAGGTATTGTAAACCAATCGATCACTTCAAGTAATTACACCACTCAGACTTCAACCGGATTCACAATCATGCAGCTAGAATTTCAAATTACAATTATTTTCAAATCCTCTGTCATCATGATTGGATCCCTGAAGAGGTGAGTATCGACCTGATTCATTCTCAAAATCTCTCAAAAAAATTTCAGCTGACCAGCTTCATTATCCAATAACTAGATCACCAATCACCGGATGGAAAGAAATAATCCATCTTATCTGTTTATTAATCAACGATCCTAGGCGATAATCTTCCAAAAAAGTGGACCCAGATTCATTCTATCATTTTTCGCCACTTCATCCTCCCACTTCATCCTTAACCCTCATTGGGCGCTGCAACCTCCCTTCAACGTTGTGAGTCCCCCGCCCCTCGACCTTCCTCTCAGGTGCCTACTTGGCAGCCAAGTCGCTGCCAAGTGGGTACAGTGCTGTTTTTCAATAATCTGGGCTGACCTTCTTTTGCTTCGGTCAGCCCCACCCAGTCGTTTTATTGCAGCAGGTACCACCAACGACAGTGAGTCCCCCCCCCCTTCTCATCTCACGGCATTGTTTTGCATCAGTAGGGCTGACCGGATTCACTTCGGTCAGCCCCAAGCCATCGATTCGACACAGGACCCACCGCCGACGACAGTGAGTCCCTCCTCATCTTCTGCCCACTTGGCAGCCATGTGGCTGCCAAGTGGGCACCGCTCCATTTTCCTTCAGTTGGGCTGACCGGAAACAATTCGGTCAGCCCCAAGCCATCGATTCGACGAAGGCCAACCCCGCCGACGACGGTGAGTCCCTCCCCCCTCCTCATCTTCCCAGGCACGGCGCCGTTTTTGATCGATCTGCCTGTTTCGCTTTGGTCAGCCCCCCCCCCCAATTACATCAAACCCAAGCCATTGATCCCCTGCTCACTTGGATACACAATGGACCAATCTGGTAGTGATCCCCGGCCCATTTCGTAAATATCTCTCTGGTTGCATTATACTTCTTTTTCTTTCTCTTCATCTTATTATTCAATCCCTTTACTCAAAACCCCCCCAACCAAATGCAATTTAATGTTAATCATCGGGATGATGATCTCTTTAAATTACTCTTGTGCGGGGGTGGGGTGAAGAAGGAGTTTTACTGTTAATCATCGGGATGATGATCTCTGTAAAATTTCTTCTTCCCCCCAAAAAAAAATTAATTAATGTTAATCATCGGGATGATGATCTCTTTAATTAACTTTAGTAGGGTGGTGAGGGAGGAATTTTAATGTTAATCATCGGGATGATGATCTCTTTAAATGTTCCTCCTTCACCCCCCACCCTAATATGAATATTATTACTTCACATAATAAATTCACCTTCTTATTCATTTCGATGTCATACTAATCACCTGCTGTTTCTTCTTATGTTCACAGTGCTCATCAAGCATACCAACGGCAACAAAAGCGAAAGAATAATTATGCTCATCAAGCTTGCCGGGATGCTCAGAGGGCAACAGTTTTTACATCTTCATTACACCCGGATACTAAGATAATGAAAAGAGAATACGTCAAATATGATCTTTACCCGGTCAGACATGCTAAAAATGCTAGTACCGAAGAGGTTCGAAAAACCCATCCAACCCCAGAGGAATTCGAGGCCGCGGAAACTGCTCTTCTTGATCGAGGTCAATTTACACTAATCAAGGATGGCCGCTTGGTTCTATACGAGAAAGATGTATCCGTTCTCAAACCTGGTGAAAAAAGGAAGCACAAATTTATTGCCTACATTGAGTTCACTAGTTCTGCTTATTTAACTACTGAAGACGGTCCCCATAAGCTATCGACTATCCAACTAGAAAACCTTAGCTTTTTGTCTCATTTCTTATTTCAATGCCGCAACTACATCTCAACCGTTCAAAGTGTCGCCAAAATCTTTCGTGGTTACATGTGGACTATCGGATGGCGTAAAAGTCAGACTGAGGGAGAAATGGCGGGTCGATACGTTGACACTGGAAAAATCAGTTCCGATGCTTTCTATTACATGGAAAACTTAATGGAAGCTTTTCGAGCAGGTGATATTATACATGATTTATTCCATTCCATTGCTGATACGGCTGTTCTAGGAATGAAGACACTTTTGAAGAATTGTAATCTCCCTGGCTTCAACCATCTCAACTTAGGAAACACCCCAGTTGACACCGACATGGCTTCCAACTTGGCATTCACCATGAATGAATTCTCCAACCGTCCACATAATGATTCAGATGTCTCCAAACATGCTTTCTTATTCCTTACTAATGTGGATAAAAACACTGGTATGTCAAATCTTCATGTTTCTTTACATTCAACGTGTACTGATATGAATTAATAAATAAACAGGTGAAATACAACTTAATAGCCATTTGGATCCAAGTTTCCAAGGACCTTTCTTTGTTTTTCCTGATCACCGAGTGGCTGTGGATCTCAGAAAATTAGATGGAATTTGTAGGATTGTTTTTGCTGCCGGTGAATTCCGACACTGTACTCATAACAACCAGCCCACTCATAAGAAGCTTACCTCCATGGGCTTTTCCCTTCAAATTACTAAATCCTGTGTTGACGCATTCAAGAAGATTTGTAATGGCTTTTATGATGGGAAGTTAACAAAATCGGGAAAAGAATATTACATTGGTGATTGTAGTCATACCTTAAAAAAGATCAAAGAAGATCACAAGAAAAACTTGTAATTATTTCATATCATCGATTTCTGAAGTCATTCTCATGTTCAATCTCATTCTAAAATCTCTAGATACAAATCAAAATATACAATTACTAGTTGTTATGTCTCAATTCCTGATTTGCTTTTTTATTTCAATTCATTTTACTGTCTCGAGATCAAAAAAGAAAAACACATGATACTACGGTTGTTTGCTACTTCATTTTAGAATAAACATCTAATTGGTAGGTACATCATAAGTGATAACAGAAAGCTCAATTTTTAGTGGTAGCAGGATGAGGAGAAAATAAAGTGTCATGATTCGGAAGCGGAGATTCGTTATGATCAATAAGGTTAGAAATAGAAACACGTGATTTTTGGATAGGTAAAGTATTATTTTTTAACATGGGAGTATCTATAACCTGAGGTCTCAGTGGTTTAACCTTTTTTTTTTTGGAAGGATTGTTCGACAGGTTTGCTTTAGATATAGATGATTGTTTGTGCTCTTCTTCTATTTGCTCGGGAGGAGAGAGCTCTAATAATTCGCATAGTTCGTTACATTCGTGATCTTCCACAAACTTTCGGATTCCATAGTTCGAATTGTTACCATCTGCCCAACGGCTTAAATAAAAGTGAAAAGTGAATTTCAGTGACATACTAAACCAGACAGAAGGGAGATGTACTTACGTTTGATCAACATCAATGATTTGAGGATCAGTGATGATAGGGCCTACTCCCTGTAAGTCACAAATCAGTTGTTGGCCTGCAGATTCGTGGTAACTCCAGTGTGTAAAGGTATTCATCAAACGGCATATGATAGGATCGATTCCTTCTTCTTCTTCATCCACGTTAAAGTCGGTATTACTGGAGTACTTCACATATTTTCCTTTTAATGCAGCCTCAATAAAGTAAACTTTGGAGGGGATATCGACATCACCAGTTACAACTACCGCATGTCTTATAACCTTGAAAAATAAAATAAAAGATCAGATATAATTTACTAACAGTTTATGTTAAAAGTGATATATGTACTCACTTCTAGTAACTGCAACTTCTTACGGTATGCTTTATGAAGAGCTCGACATCTTGAAAGAACCTTCTTGAAACTATCCAAGAGTAGTGCACTTGCCTCGTACATGAGTGCATTGGTAGCATGTTTTTCGACGGAAGGTGTCAAGTCGTGGAATCGTTTCTTTGCAACATAATCCACAAGTGTTACTTCACCATTTCCTTCCACAATCTTAACCACTGCCTTATAAGTAATCCGCATGCTTCCCTGACCAATGACTTGATCCTGATTGACTCGTAAGGTTATTGGCTGAGTGTCAGCACGGACAAAGGAGACTTTTCTGAACAGGGATTGATTTGGGATATTGTTGGTGTGGAAGATTAATCGTTGACCTTAAATCCATCCATCTTTATTGATGTGAACAGATGAAAGAGTCCCTTGACCGAGAAATCCCAACTGTGCTTTCAACCCTACAGCTCCATGTGATGGCATTGTACCTAAGAAGAATAACAAGTGAAGTGAAAAATAAACAACTGTTTTATTTAGACATGAAGAGAAAAAATATAAATATGTAGAGACTCACATGCAAGACCTCCAAGTGCCCACTTTGATTGGGTGTTAGACCCACTCAATCCGATTGAAGAGTTCCTGTTCGAAGTATTGTTACGTTTTTCCAAACGGGTCTCTGATTTCTCGAAATTTGGTTCTGAATCGGAGCTCGAATCTTCATATTCCTCTTGAACCTCTGGATCTGGATGTTGGTAGGTGAGGTCGATTTGAACTGGTTTTTTATCGGTAGACTTTTCCAAAACAAAGAGAAGGGATTCCGGATTGGTAAGGCAGCTTTTACCTTGGGAAAGGCTAACAAAGTTGGCTACATCTGGGGGCAGTTGTTTGATGGATGTCTTAGTCGGAAGCTCTTTAGAGAACACATCCCATAACTTTTCGAGGAGATCGTAAAAAAAATTGGGATTATTTAAATCAACCTTATGCTAGATATTGAGAATCCCCGTATCCTTCTGGAGCTTTGAGTTTTGATACAGAACAAAGCCACAGTCAATCAAGCGCTCGGTGCTGGATTGACTTGAAAGGGATACAGAATGTTTAGAGGAAGAGGACTGAGGCTTCTTCTTTGGATAAGGAGATGTAGACGGGTTTTTTTTACATTTGGATTTAATAGCCTCTTCAAAGAACTGTCTTGAGGTGGATGGAAGGGATAAACTTCTACTAGGAAATTGGGATTCAGAACTATCATTATATCGAGAGGAATTTGATCTAGAGGTGGTTGGGAGAGTAGGGGAAGAGGTATGATCTTGTTTTCTAATGCTAGATTCAATACACCTCATACACCATCCTTGAATAAAAGGACCATTAGTCCTATGCTTACATTTAGCACAGTGAGACATGACTAGCTTTAGGGCTTATAATTGGGGAGTGGTGGTGGTAGATTGGTGTAATGATAAGGGTTAAAATCGGTGAGCGGAGACCAAAAAAGTGAACTGATAACGTGTTATGATTTAGAGAGTGAGTCACTGTTGAACTTATTCATTCGCTTGTCCTTTCCCTTTTATAACCAGATTATCCAACATGTATATTTTGAAAACGTTTCATTAGAGGATCTGTATTCACACTATAGCTACAGGAGACATGCAATCAACAAATAAAGTGATCAAACATCTCAAAGTAAAGGTTTCTACTTTTTGTTATGTGAAATATCATTAGATGGATATTTAATTCTACGTAATCTTTACGATTCATCCTTAACTACTTCCCTCAGGCTATTAGAAAGTAAAATTATCATCAAGATGTTACATCTTAAATCGGTTGAATTACTATATAATACTTTTATATTACAAGTGATGTAAGAAAACTTGGTTGATTGAGGAGAAAAAAATAGAAAATCTAATGAAGTTATTTTATCTACTGAGGTTTCACATTTGTACATGTAGTTCTTACTTCAATGAGAGACGAAAATTTAGAAATTTGTTCGATTGAGGTGAACAAAAAATTGAAAATCTAATGAAGGGTTATTATCTACAGAGGATTAATACTTGTCCATGTTGTTATTACTTCAGTGAGCGAAAAAAAATTAAGAAATTCACTTGATTGAGGTGAAAAAAAAAATAGAAAATCTAATGAATTTATTTTATCTACAGTAGTTTCACACTTGTACATGTAGTCATTACATTAGTGAGAAAAAAAAATAAAGTTAATGTATAAGAAAAAAAAAAATCCCTCGGTTGCATGAGGGAGTTCGGGGGGGATCAGTCAGGGTGGCGCGATTTGGCGCTGGCGCGATTTGTGTCCCCCCTGAGCTAAAGGACCTAAGGTTTTCAAACCGAGATGTTAGAGCACGACCAACGTGAGCTAACAGAGAGCAAAGACACAAGCGAACCTAAGGTTTTCAAACCGAGATGTTAGAGCACGACCAACGTGAGCTAACAGAGAGCAAAGACACAAGCGAACCTGTGACAAGAGAGTCAAGCGGTGATGAGCGAGGCGAAAGAGGAGCAGAAACGAAGAAAAGAGAATCTGATCATTTTATTTCTAACCTAAGGTTTTCAAACCGAGATGTTAGAGCACGACCAACGTGAGCTAACAGAGAGCAAAGACACAAGCGAACCTGAAAGGAGAGTACACGATGAGAGAACTGAAAACCAAAGAGAAGAGAGAAATGAGAAGATGAAACAAAAGGAACAGACCTGTGACAAGAGAGTCAAGCGGTGATGAGCGAGGCGAAAGAGGAGCAGAAACGAAGAAAAGAGAATCTGATGAAGAAAAAGGAAAAACAACTTTAGAAAGAAATGAACCCCTTTTATACGCTTCCATCAGATGATCTAGGTTTCGAACCTTGTCTATCTCACTGTACACCCTGTCTCACTTTGCCGCAGCGGGGTGAGAATGAACCCCCGAACCGTTTGTTCAACATGAGCTTCCGTACTTATGGCTTTTGGATTCAGTCACAAGACAGCTTATGTAGCCAAGAGATAATTTAAAAAAAAAGAACGAAAAGGTAGGGTAGCGTGGCTACTAATTTTACAAGCTTAAGTAAGACATGTCGATCATCTTCATCATCATGACATCATGACTGCGTTTTTTTTCTTGTCATGTTGGGAATTGCACGTTCACATTGAAGTCAATCGTTTGAGCTGCTTTTTCTGGAACAGTGATCTATGGAATATGCAGGAACGTCTTTGTATGATCTATGTGTGATGGGAATAATTTTGGATACATAGATTAGTGACTGATGGGAAGGTAGGGCGC